AGAAATGTGGAGTGACGTAGAAATGTAAACAAGACAATGATTTGCAAAAACAACAAAAACAAGCTACAAAACAAAATAATAGTAATAAAAGATGGTATCTATAAATGTTTAGTTTAGTTATGGTTATTATTAGTTCAAGATGAATAATTGTTTGTTATGGTTTGCTTATTGTGATATATTTATAATGTATTGTCATTTTATTTTAAAATTTTTACTGTGATATTTGTTATCATTTGAATTATTTTGTTTTTATCTCTGTGAGATTATTTTAAAATACATTTGTATTGAATCATTTTCTTTCAATAATTTGTGAATTTACTAATTGGATTATTAAAGGGCATAAACATGTATATTAGTTGCCAAAAGCCCTTCTCACCACAACAAATTTTTCATTAAAAACTGATCATTGCAAACATTCACTTCCTAAATGGGACTTGGATCTATGCTCTCAAAGACAAATGGCAATGCCATAACAAACTCTGCTACCAATTGGTAGTAAAGATTGTTAAGACAGAATTTTAAAATTTTTGAAAAATATAGTAGAATAAATTTTCAGTTTATTTTAATATAAGATGTAATCTCAAATTAATTTTAAAAATTAATTGTATTAAAAAGTAGTAGATGTACTATATATATATCTATAACATTTATATATCAATTATTAAATAATATTGTGTAATATGACTGTAGTCATAATAAATTCTTTAGTACTTAGTCATAAAATTCAAGACTTTTAATGTTTAGAAAAATAAAAATTTTTGGATTAAAATTTGATCTGAATTGACTGTAATGTTATAAAAATTTTAAATATTTAAGAACAAAGAACTTTATAACATTAAAAGAGAGCCAAAGAATTGATTTTAGTAATTTAAGGGTAATTTTAATTAATGTGATTTTTATTGTTTTGCTATTTTCATTTTTAAATTTAGTTCTCTGATTTTCGTAATCGAAGTCATACGACAGCAAGCAAGTTGCTGAAGAATGGAGAATCTAAACGGAGTCAATGAAAATGTTGCGCAAAAGACAGTAGACCTTATTTTAAGGTATAACATTAATGTTGAGTTAAGAAATATTACCACAGAATTTGAAATGACCTTTCATAACGTAAAGTGGAGTAAAATCTGCTTTATCTCCAGTTTCGTACTGTGTATGCCTATCGCTATTCTTACTATCCTGTCTTGGCTAAAAAAGGATAGCGATGTAAACTCGTAATGTACATTTAAAAGTTGGTCGTTTCATGCTGGACATGATATCGAAAAGTGAAGAACTTCACTCGATATTTTTAAAAAAAGAATTTTGATGATTTTTACTGTGACCATGGAACAGGTGCTCTGATCCATAAGCGTTTGATTCGCTGTTTTTATAAATTTTTAACTATGCATTCTTGTAAAATTTTGTATAACAAAAATAAAGTCTCTATTCTGGAATATAAAGTGGCGCCCGGGGCACGACACTTTATTGACGCCCCCTCACCCCTCCAGAAACAAATCTTGTTTATATTAGAGACCATNTGTTTTATAATATTGTACTTATTGTATATTATGACAATAAAATTTTAAGTTTAAAATATTCTTTAATAGACTTTTTTGAATATTTTAATTTCACTTTGTGCTGTTTTACAGTTATTATTAATAGAATAGAATATAATACATGTAATGGAATTTACCATTTTTACATTCTCGTTTGTTTATTTTTTTTCTTTCCTGTGGATAATCATTTCTGAAATGACGTTAGTTACAATAGTTCTTGATCGAAACTTATTTTGAGATAATTTTTGATCAAACAGTAATTGGCGGATATGACGCAGAAGGGAACTAAAAAGAAATACTATAACTCAATTAGGAAAAATACTAATTCAAAACTCCAATTCTCCATTTGTAAAGGGCATTTATTTAGAGAAGTAGTCTTTTGCAAGTAAGGAATATAGAGAACTCATCTTAAGTGTAACATTTAATGGATAGAAATCCAGAAATTAATCCATTTCCTTTGATGGATGATGTAAAGAATGAGCCACACTCCATAAAATCTGGATTTGAATTGGATCCTAAGAAATTTTTGAGTGCTCTGACCTGGACATATTATGCCTTATTATCACATGGCAGTGGCAGCCCTTTCCAGCATATGTATCATATACAAAACTTTAAATATTTTACCAACATTCTCTGACATTATTAGTTCAGATATGTGAATAATATGATTTTATATCTGTAAATAACAGTTTTAAACTCCAGTGATTGAGGAGGACATAGTTTGAAGAAAAAAAAAGGATTAGTGGATTTATATGTATTTACAGTATTAACAATGCCATTCTAATATAAACAAATTGTCTTGTCCAAAACACAATTATAAGAAAAAAAAATATTTTGCAGAATTTTTAAAATTGAGATTTCATATAAGTTAATGGTGGGCATCTATCATTTTGTATAATTTGTAGCAAAAGTTTTGCAGGTTTCAAACTCTTAAAGACAATTAGAAACAAATCATCCAATGTATGTCAAAAAAGCTATTACTACATATTTGTTGAAAGAAAATTGCCAGATTCCCTTTAGAAACTTTGAAAAAAGTTAGTCATTTTATAAATTAATACTTTAAACTTAAAGTATGGCAAAAAAAGTGTGACAAATGCCAAAACAGCAGATGTGGACCACATCCTCTGAAAGCAAGACTGTTGAGAACTCATATTTATATGTATAAGATATGTATAAAGCCCTTGAAACTCTGTTTCTTTTATTTGGAAATAAACATTTGTTTTTTTTTTAACCATTTTTACCTTATGGACACTAAGGCAACCTTTTTCCCAGGTCCACAATGGGGCGATGAGGATAACAAATGCTCAACATTCTTTATCTTCTACATTAAGGCAAGATATTCCCAAACTCTAATGAAATTTTTGTCATTCCTTTGCTCTATGTATATCCTATGCAAGCATGAAACTTCCTGGAGTCATTGAAGATTGCACAAGATGTATAAAACTATTTTCAGTGTAGCCCTAAATGAATTGCAGACTTTAAAGAATTTTGGTTTCATAAATGTGAAACCCTACAAATTGCTCCACGCAAGGCAAACGTGTTGGCTTTCGTTACATTTGGTAGTAACAAGATCCTAGGACAGTACAATGCTCTGAAATTGCTTTACACTAATGTAGTTAATAACAGACTACTTTTGAGCAATGCAATTCTGCAGAAATTAAATTCCCCTTCAACTTGCAAATGATTTTATTTTGCTTATTTTGAATATACTAAATCTAAAGATGCAATCAGTAATACCACAGAGCCACGTCATGTAACGTGGCTTATCACCTTGTTAGACTACAGCTCGAAGGACGAATATCACAAAATGGCACTTCTTAAAGTCATGGAATACAGAAATCCCTCCAAATTTAAACTGTTAAATGAAATATATTTAGGTGCAAATGTTTTATTGATTTTATTGACTATTCAGACATGTAAGATCCTCCTTTTAAATTCTACTTTGTTAGAAGTGAGGACATCTAACCTAGTAAAGATTTTTAAATGCCAACACATAGATTTCTCAACAGAGAGTGCCCAACAAATGTATAGAAAGATTCTTGTTTGGAAGCAGTTCAATAAGAGATATGGAGGTACTTGATCCAAAAGTTGTTAAAATGAAAACGGTTTCATCACTTATTTGTATTTCGTCAAGATTTCCAAATCCGAACCCAATCAAATAAATCAAATTTCGAGAGCTTGATGCAGAAAGGAAGACATTGAGAAACGCTAAAGTGAGAGCAGAGGCCACGGTATCAACCGAATTTTGGATTACAGTTCAATATTTTAAAAAGGAGAAGAAACACATTTCCAAAACTTTCATATTTTATGATGTCACTTCTGCCATTTGTCGGCTAGTGTCAAACGGGTACATTTGGCCCTAAATAGAACAAAGACAAAATTGAGAAATCGACCAGGCACCCGAACAATCTCTAGACTTTTACATAGAAAGAGGCTCACAAGAAAGACATCAGTTTTAAAACTGGTGTCAAAAACCAGATTCAAGAAGACGACGAACTAGAAGAGTACTAGATGTAGTAAGTGATTTTTAATTAAAGTTGATAGTTAATCAACATTTTGATAATATAATTTTAAATACCGGTTTATTCGAATAACAATCGTTGGTTCAGCATTTCCCAAAACTTAGGGGTTTAGGAACAAGTTTTATATTAAAGGAAGTGTAAATATTAGTTAATGAATATTTTTTATTTGTTGTTAAGTCCTACCCTCTCAAGATACTGTACGACATATGGCACCCCTTTGTCTCATCCTTTCGACCTTTAACCATCAAAATTTAAAAGCATCAATCTCCCTAATAAACAAACTGCAAAAATTTCAGAAATTTTCGAGAAAAGGCATAGAGTTATCAAACTTCAAAGAGGATGAACAAAACACGATGCCCCCTATACAACATCCGTACATACAGAAATTACCTCACAATTTTTTAGCATTTATCGACGTTTCAAGGAGTCCTAAGTCCAAAAATCTGAGTGGGGGTCTTTTTTTTTTTTTTGCTGGATCGCCATACTTTCCCTGTTATAACAATCTGATAATTAATTAATTAATAATAAAATTCATCATATTTAGATACAATAATATATAACGAGCCGGATGGCCGAGAGGTTAAGGTGACAGCCTCTCGCTCTGGGGACCCGGGTTCGATTTCGGACGGGTCGAAAATTCCCCAGAAATTTTTCGGGGATATGTCGGGCAACGTCCCTCACCTCATTGTGAGCTTGGCCAACCCCATAATGGGCTGGCTAAAAGAGGCCCTCTTAATGTCCACGGCGGGAAATCAAAAAAAGTATTATATAACAAACAATAAACGGTTACGCTCGAATGAAATAATAATAATAATAATCGCTCTCCAATTGTAATATGTAATTTAAAATAATATCCGCAGTTATTATTGGAGAATAAAACCGATAAATGTTAAATTTTCCGATATTTTAAAATTCGATATTCCGAATTAATTTTTTTACGATCTGGCAACACTTACGAGTACGTCGCCGTTTTCCAATGGGGAAATCGTTTGATTTACGATAAAGTAATTCGTAGCAACCGCAGGATTTACTTGTCGAGTCGGGTTCGAGTTTCGGTTTATCGGTCACGCGAATGTTAATTATCGTCAACGAAAATGCATTAGATGCGAACGGCGAAGTTAAATACAATTAAATCGGATAGATATCGTCGCATTTACATGTTTTCTGACGTCCAAAGGTAATTTTCTTACTTTTTTTCATCGTAAGTTACGACATATTTTAATCTACGAGACGCATTTTACAATAGACAGATGTAACTCGTAACACTTAAACTGTAAACACAACCCATATTGTCTTCTAGGTTAATTAATTAAAGATCTTATCGTCGGATGTAATGGTGCTAAAATTTCGCATTATAAAAGGAGGAAAGATGTCAATTCGTGTATTATATTATGGTACTTAACATATCGAGAGATGTAAATACTGTAAATTAAAATATTCGTTTTAAAGTAATTCCTATTTTAACGTAATTATTTGTATCTGAGGAAGGCAAGTGATAACATTATTATGAATAATCAGCTTGTTTTCTTATCATATACTGCGTGATTGTCTGTAAAGTGTATTTACTTACCTTTCTACTACTGTTTCCTATTGTTTAAAACGTTGTATTTGGAACTAGAGGAAACTTTGAATGGTTTTTTTCCTGCTTCCTTGAAATCAAGAATTATTTTACGCAGAAGTAAGTGATCGATCGAGTGCAATTGCTTTCGTCGCTTTTTGCGTCCAAACTGGTAAAAGGGCACTTCCTGTTGCTCGGAAACTGCGGGCGAAGGAACGTGTCGCCAAATTGTGGCTTTTGTATTTTGTAATGAAAAATGAAATGAAAGAATTTGGTTTTTAATTTGGAGGAAAATATGTATTTGGAACCGAAGCTTTATTACTTAATGTATGTTTTGACTGTATTAAACAATCTAAGTTAATTTTTTTTTATGAAATGATGATTCTCTGATGTTACCCGGTAGAAATAGTAACTGGAAATCGTTTGAGATTGGTCGGATTGTGCTTGCTTACAAGGTCTGTTCGATCGTATAATATGAAAATGATTGTGTATTAAAGAAGATTGCAATGACTTTGAAACTGTTTTTTATTCGGACGGAGCGAGAACGGACGTAAAAGTTACGAAGACGTTCTCGGTGAGTATATTTCTGTCGTTTAAATGTCCGATTTCTTTTCCTGTCGAATGTGGAGTTGTCGTTTCTGTTGAAATTAACGGAAGTGAGAAAAATATATTTTGAGTAGAAATTGGATCCGAGACTGCCTAAATTTATAAATGATGAGTTGTAATTATTTTCCTGAAATTGTCATTTTCGCTTTAAAATTTAATATGAATTTAAGTTGGTTGTTTGTCGATATAAATTAATGGTTCTATTTTCTGTGTGTATGAATGTTACTTTTAGTTAATGCCAAAAGTGAATCGTGATAACTTTGGTATGTTATTTATAATTTTTATTTTACAGTAAATCTTTTTATATATCAGTGTAGAGATATTTTTTGTTTCTGTTTACAGATTCTATTTATAGATTTATATTTATATTTATATATTTACAGATTCTTCTATTTATTGTATTCTATTTACAGTCCAAGATTGAAAGTCGGAATCCAAAGCAATCTAATACGGTGAATGTTTATAAATCAGTGTTTACTTTGCTTTAAATATCTTCATGTATTTAAAGAGAAATGAATACTAATTTGTTAATTTTATCTTCGACTCTTGATTGTTGATTGTAAATGTAGAGCAGCTGAATAATGAAACATCATTATACATTAAAATTATTTGAATTTGTTTAATCTTGAAGATGAATTGGACGGATTTATGTTTATTTTGTTGTTTAATATATATGTCTAGAACACTGTTTCTCAACTGGAGGGCTATGTGGCCTCCTTGTGGCCATAGAACATTTCAAGGGATCCATGTCAAAAATTAAACTCTAAAGGGGCCACAGTCAGAATAAAATATTAAAATTATATGAAGATGATTAAACTACAATAAGTAAATTATTAGAGAAATGTATGTAAATTATTAATTAATTAATTAATTAAAATATGGGTTTAAATAAAATACAAAAGTAAATTTGATAAGAAAATTTTGAACCTAAAGTGTTTTATGTTATCAGACAATATATGTACAGGAAACTTGCAGGTGTACTCAAAGCATATCATTTAATTGTTGTTATGTTGGGTTTAGTGGGTTTACTTGGTTGATACCAGTGGCTGTGTATTATGCTGGACAAGAGTCAAGGCATAGCAACCAGAAACAAAAATGAAGTAAGTGTGTCAGTATCTGTATTCAGGAATTTCCTAATAATGTGGCATGTATTCAATATAGTGGCCTTCTGTAGTGTGATGTATGCATTTCTATTCAATTGTAATGTTCCCAAGCTTTTGTGTAGTGTGTGTGGTATCACACCTGTACAGGAGAGAACGACAGGTACAATAAGCACCCTATCCATCCTCCACAGATGCCTTATTTCCTGGGCGAGTTCTGTGTACTTGCTAATTTTTTCAGTGCATGTGTTTTGTACATTGTGAGTGTTTGGAATGGCTATGTCTATAATGTATGTGATTTTATTGTGTTTGTCAATGAGTGTGATGTCTGGTCTGTTGTGGTAAATTGTTTTATCTGTGATTATGGCTCTGTCGTAGTACATTTTGTGCGTGTTGTTTTCCAATACTGTCTGTGGAATATACTTGTAGTATGGTTCGTGGATGTCTGCCAATTTGTGTTTCTTTGCAAGCTCTTGGTGTATTATATTTGCTACTTGATTGTGTCTATGTAAGTAATCTGTCTGTGCCAAGAGCTTGCAACCAGAAGTGATGTGTTGTATAGTTTCTGGCATGATGTGACATTTTCTGCATGTGTCATTTGTGAGTGTTGTATCTTTGAGTATGTGTTTTCTGTAGTTTTTAGTATTTATGACCTGATCCTGTATGGCAATCATGAATCCTTCCGTCTCCCCAAAGAGGCATCCCCGATCTAACCAGCTGTTTGACGCAGTTTTGTCAACAAAATCCTGGGCCAGGTCATAAGGATGCCTGCCATGGAGTGCCTTTCGAGCCCACGATTGCTTGATGGTGTCTATGCTTTTTATGTGTTGTGTCATGTCTGTATGATGTGAGTGTAAGTTTAATGGTGTGTTATTTGAGTCTGCTAGAGTTACTGCTTTATGTAACTGTGATGTTTCTTGTTTCTTGTAGAAAAACTCTCGCAGTGACTGTATTTGTTTGTAGTGAAGGTTAACTATGTCAATCAGGCCACGTCCGCCTTCTTTACGTGGAAGGGTTAATCTTTCTGTGGCGGATTTAGGATGATGTTGTTTATGCTTAGTAAGTGTTGTTCTTGTTTTCCTTTGGAGTTGCTCGAGATCTGTGTGAGTCCAATGTATAACTCCAAAAGAGTATGTGAGTACTGGGATGACATATGTGTTTATTGCTTTAACTGTGTGTTTTGCATTTAACTGTGTTCTGAGTATAGCGTTTAACCTACTTTGGTATTCTTTAATTAATCGTTGCTTTATTTGTGTATGTTCTGTTAGTTTGGCCTGTTGGAATCCTAAGTACTTGTAGAACTCGCCCTCTTCCATGGATTCAATAACGTCTCCATTTCCAAGTGCAAAATCTTCTTTCTTCAGGATTCCTTTTTCTATGTGAAGTTTTTTGCATTTGTCTAGGCCAAACTCCATTTGTATGTCCTTAGTGTATGAATGTGTGATTTGTAGGAGTTGATGAAGTTGTTTTTGTGTGGATGCATAAAGTTTTATGTCGTCCATGTACATGAGATGTGACAGTGTAAACTGTGTTGTTTTTTCATGTCTGATATTGTAGCCATAATGCGTGTTGTTTAACATGTTGGATAATGGATTCAGGGCTAGGCAGAACCAGAGAGGACTCAAGGAATCTCCTTGAAAAATTCCTCGCCTAATGAATATTTCGTTTGTTTGTATGGAAGTGTTACTAACCCTGAGATGTAGTGTTGTTCTCCAGTGCTGCATAGTGTTTTCGAAGAATGCAATGAGTGATGGATGTATTTTGTACATGTGTAGAATATGTAGCAGCCAACTGTGTGGAACACTGTCGAATGCTTTTCTGTAGTCTATATATGCCATGTGTATGTTTCTGTGTTGTTTGTGTGCTTGCCGTAGAATGACTGAATCTATGAGTAACTGTTCTTTGCATCCCCTGTGATTTCTACGGCAACCTTTTTGTTGTTCTGTAAGAATGTCGTGTTCATTAACATGTTTGTATATTTTGTTTGTGATACAGGATGTCAATAATTTGTAGAGTGTTGAAAGACATGTAATCGGTCTGTATTCTGTGGGGTCTGTGGTGGTGGTGTTTTTAGGTTTCATGTAGGTGATTCCCTGAGTAAGAAATTTTGGCATGTCTTCTGGGTTGATGATGATGATGTGTGTTAGATGTTTAGCTAGTTCCTGCTGCAGTGATGTAAACTTTTTGTATCAGAAATTTATTATTATTATTATTTTTATTTTATTTTATTTTTTTTTGAAGGATGTTTATTATTAAAGTTTAGACCTATCGCTTGTAGATGTATAGAGTGCATATACCATGAAACTTCAATCTAACATCACCATTTGTTCACCTCTGAAATTGGCATAAAATAGAATGTGAAACTAAACTTAACTATTTTAAAAAATAACAATTATATACAGTACACTTGTTTTGAATTTGAAGGTTTAAAGTTATGCAATTTACCATTAACAGTGTCATTTGCAAGACAAAATCTATCAAAATGAGATATTATTATGGGAAACCATAAAAATTTTAAGCTCAAAAGAGGTCAAAGGTCAGAAAACGTTGAGAGAGTGTGTTTTTTAAGACTTTAAACATGCTTTTACATCATTTTATTAACGTAATATATAAAATTGCAAAATTTTAAGTGAAATATCATTGTAATCCAGTAATAAATTGTTTTTGCATCATCACTATTAAAAGTTATTTAAGAAGAAACAAATTTTTCTTCATTAATAAAATTATCTGTAAAAATATTAATAGAAAACAATTCATGCTTAACAATGTCTGATATGTTGTCATGGAATCAAATAATAATAATAATAATATATATATAGCTAAAAAATATTAACTTTTATTTGAAACCAAAGATTTATTAATAATAAATTGAATGATTTGAAATTTCATTGTCAAAATATTTATTTTGCAGTCAACTATTTTCATACAACAGTTTTTTTATATGGATTGTTTTTATTCATAAAAGTTTCGATTCATGTTTCAAAACACTTGAACAAGTTAAAATTAGTTATTTTCTGTTCAGCCTTTGAGTAAATATTTTTATAATTGAGGTAACTTGCTTTTGATTTATTATTTGTATCAAAATTTTTCCAGTTTTTTTTGACATTATATATGCAGCATATTAAGAAGAACAAATATTAAAGAAACAAATATTAGAAATTTTCATTTTGATTTTTATTTTTAAATGTTGGACAAAAACTATTGCATTATGTAAGATTATCAAATTATATGTCAACAATTGTCAGGCTGAAATTATGGTATATTGATTTCATTAATTAATGATATATTCTTAGAAAATATTAGATAAGAGTTATGTGTTTGAATCTATTTCAGGCAATTCTTTTTTCAAACATATCAAAATTTAATTCAAATCTGTTTTATTTTATTCTCTTCTCATCCTCTTAGAGGTTGCAGCTGACAAATCATTTCTCTCCATCTTTTCCTGTTTTGAGCATTTCTCAGATCAGTTCCCATCCAGTCCTTGATGTTATCCCTCCATAACTTCTTGGGTCTTCCTCTTGGTGCTATTTCCTCTACCATTCCCTCTATCAATCTTCATTAATTGTCCTGAAGATATCCTGGCCAAATGTCCAGCAAATGCAGATTTTCTTTATTTAATGATTGTCATTACAGTAGAGCATCGTTTATCCGAAGGTCGGTTATCCAAAACATCAGTTATTTGAAGGAATTCCAGTCGACAAATTTAAATTTTCGCCAGTGCTGTGGCACTGCAATCTTTGGCTATGTCTTGGGCTACTCAAATATTTTACGTTTTTGATACTAAATTAACTTCTGAAGTATAATTTTTTATTGTTTTTATATTTTTCAATATATTTATTTTGTTTGTACAAAATAAAAAAATAATTTTTAACGATATAATAGTCTTCGTTAGACTTAACATCGGCGAAAATTCAACACGAAGCAACACACAACGGAGAAAAATTTCAACACGAGATAAATTAATATATTTTTTCATACATAATTGGTTATCCAAATAACCCCAGTTTCCAATTGATTTGGATAAACGACGCTCTACTGTAATTGTTTTCCTACATTAAATTTTTTAAGTAATTCTTTATTTATGATTCTTCTTTGTCCAGGTAATCTTGTCCATCTTCTTAGACATCACATTTCTAATGAGTTTATTTTGTTTTCCATTTTCTTTATGACAGACTAAGACTTACATCCATAGATCATCATGCTCCCTACAATTTGTCTTAAGAATTTTTAGTTTGAGACTTCTATTTAGGCTTCTGTTTGTTAATATGTGAGAAATCTGGAAGAAAGCTGATTTTGCATTGCATATTGAACTTTTAATTTCTGGATTGTGCCTATTATCTTCTGTAATCCAGCTTCTAAGATATTTGAAATTCTTCATTCTTTCCAACTCTGTGGACCCCAAAATGATTTGTAAATTAACTTCAGCATTCAAATATATTATAAAAGATAATAAAATACTTTAAATTCACAAATTATTAATATAACTGCTCTGATTATAACATAAATTTTCAGCATCATGTTTATCAGTTTTTGATATCTGTAGAGATTATCTTATAGTACTTATACAATATTATTTAATTACATTTTATTCTATAATTGATGACCAGAATTTAAAAATATATTATTAATAACATATTATTAGTGGTGTTGAAATCTTTAACTGGGCTGTTTGAAATTAAATATTCATTTTACAAGTCCAGTAAAATTATTTCTTGAGTAATAAGTATTTTTGGCTACTGGACTTTAACTATGAGATTGAAAATACTTCTTCAGTAGCTGAATATAATTGTTCCTTGACAGTTTGGGCAGTCTTAGACATCCAATATTATATAAAACAGGAATTTCTCACATCTTAGATAGACTTCAAGTATGGATTAGAATTTACTGAGAATAGATAAAATTTAATTTTTTGAGAAATATTCAAATATTTACATTAAAATGTCTGTATATTATTTTAAATCTTTATCATAACACTAATATAATTATTGGCATGACAAGTTAAACTTGTCATTTTATTAAATAATTTTTTGAAAATATGCTGAGTAAAATTAAACAGAAAATATTTCAAAAAGATGATGAATGCTTTCTGCTAAATATTTTGTTTGTCATTAATTATCTAAAATAAAGTCGGGACAGTTAGTTTTTTATTAAAAATAATTTTTTGATAAAATTTAGGTACTTATCAATTAAAATATATATAATTTAAATTAAAAATTTTATGACGTATTGAAGTGTTCTTTATTATCAATCATTTATTTTACAAATAGTAAAAGTCTAATATAAATATTTGTCATTTTGCAGATAATTTTTGATTGTATTGTATATGCCTACAACGGAGATATGGGCCGTAAACAGTCTTGGCAGAGTGTTCACTCTCTCTACCAAAGAACAGTTTTGGAAAGAACTAAGATACGGAGGTCTAGAATTCAAGAGAGTGTCAGCAACGTCGTTCTGTACTTGGGCGATTGGAGGAGATCACATGGTTTATGTATACATTCCGTTACAAGATATTCCAATTCGCTTCAAAGAAGTTACCTTTGAAAATGAAGTTAGTGTTATTACATTTTATAAATATTTTTTAAAGATGTTTAGTATATTTTCAATACATACATACATACAAAAATATTTTTCTCTTTCAAAGGAATGAAAGTCACTTAAGTAGTGCAATTGTAATTTTCTTAAAAGATGTTTTGACAAATTTATATTTAATGTACAAGCTTTATTTAACATTGTATTTTCTATGGTAGAGAATTATATTCCCGTAAAATTTATATATAAGTGAAATTTTTAAGAAACTTTTCAAGATTTTAATACTTCTCTTACTGTTTTTAATTTAATTTTTTCAGTGAAGTCATAGCATGCCTATAATATATGTCATTGTCTTTTCATATATAATGAAATATTCTTTACTGCTTTATATATTTTAGAATAATCTTTCATTTTTATAATATAGCATAGTAGTTAAAAAATGCCTGATCTTGCTGTAAAATAGGTGATTATAAATAGATTATTAATTTTTGAATGTTTATTAAGAAATTTTTCTTGTGCAAGCTTTCAAACAATCTAGTTTGCTCTTTGTTTTGATGACATCACTCAAGCAACCATTGTTCATGCATAGACACTCTTCAAATCTTTGAAGTATTTCATGCATACAATGGCAAACATGTTCTCAGGTATGTTATTAATTGCACTAGAAATTTTTGCCTTAAGAATTTCAATATTTTGTGAACAAAGAGTGTGGTATGTGTAGATTGTCCACAAAATATTGAAACTGTTACGGCAAAAATTTCTCATGCAATTAATAACATACCTGAGAATATGTTGCATTGCTCTATGCATTCCATACTCTAAAGATACAAAAAGTGTCTGTGCATCAACAAAGATTACTTCAGTGATGTCATCATTAAAACACAAATGGCAAACTGTCTTGTTTGAAGTCTTGTACATGAAACTTTGTTAATAAATATTCAAAAGTTAATAACTATTTATTTATAATCACTTGTTTTCCTGCCAGACCCTGAATAACTAAAACAGATTTTGAGTCACATTTTAAGTTCCTTTCAATATGTTTTGCTATTCTGTTGTTAACCAAACAAATGAATTTTGCCAGTATGTATCAATTAATTTAGGTACTCTACAACAATTAGTATCTAATTTTATTGATTGATGTATACTTATTGTATTATAAGAAAACTAGCCATTTTTACATTGTTTATAAATATATTTTAGATATTATGTAGTCAAAAAGTTCCAGAACATCTTGTATGCTTACATAACAAAACATGCTGTTAAATCTACTCTGTTATCATGCAGAAGGTGAGCAGTTCTTGTACAAGATTGACATAAGTGATGAGGTGATGAATCTTGCTCCTTCCTTTATGAACCAAAACCAAGCCGCAAACCCATTATTGGCCAAAGAAAAAATTCAAAAGCCTTTCAAGAAAAGAAAACAAATGGTTTATATTAATGTTCTTTTCTGACAACTGAGAACCACTTTTAATTAAATTTTTTTTAGAAGGATTTACTATCAATATGATAAGTTGCTGCAAGGGCCTCCAAGTCTTACATAGAGCATAAAATCAAAACATCCAAGCCTTCTCACTGATGGAGTGGTGTTCCTACATGATAATACATGACATGTATGGCAAGATCTGTGAAAGATGTATTGGTGAAATGTTAATGGAAAATGTTGTTCTATCCTGTTTATAGTCCTAAATCTGTTATGTAATTATCATATGTTTGACCCAATTCAAAAAACATTGAAGGGACAGGAATTTGCATCAGATGACATGGTTAAGAAGGCAGTGATGCAGTGGTTCAACAGCAGCCATGCAAATTCTACAAGGAAAATGTAAGATGTGTGGTATATCAGTGAGATAAATATCTAAACAGCAGCAAGGAGTACTTCTAGTATCAATGTAAACTTAATTTATAGAATGTTTCAAGATGTTCTGGAACTTCTCGACTTTACCATATATGCAGTATATGTTATGGCAGTATATGTTAAAACTTGTGAATTGGATAAAGCTAGGATTAACTGGATGATTTGTGATCTTTCCATGTTGGAGGGAAAAAGAAGGAATTTTATTTTTTAAATTAAGAATTTATTATTTGTTATTAACTGAATAAAAAAATAGTCATAAAATTAAAAAAGACTAGTTTACTATAGAAATTTTTAATGAAAAATGATTGTAAGATTTATGGAAATAAACAAATTTAAGACAGAGTAAAAGATGTACACACATTAACTAATTACAAATAAGCACTTTTGAATTTCTCTCTCTCTCTCTCTCTCTCTTTTTTTTTTTTTTTTTGTAATCTCTTAAATCTTTCTTAATCCAATAAAAATAGAGAAAAATGTTTATGCAAAAATTATGAAAACATTAATAAAAAAAAGCACATTGAAACAAAAATTATTATTAATTAATTTTTTTAAATATTTATTTTGATCTAAACAATAAGCAAATGAAACAAACTTGACATGTTAACCACCATCCGATGTGCCGGCAGTCATACTAATTAGGGCCGTAGAGAGCCATCCGACTGCCTGACTTTGCTATAATCAATGTAGTTTTGCTTAAGGTTAAATTATCCTGGCTTTGTAAGATCTTGTTTTACATCCTAATGGTGGCCTCTCACATGCATCTATAAAGTTGACTCCAACCGCCGGCGGTCGTATGACTCTGAACGACCCTAACTACTACAACTGCTGGCGCATCGTATGGCTTTGTACAGCCCTAATTAGTACGACCGTCGGCGCGTCGGATAGCAGTTAACGTGTTAATTTTAGACCTTCCTCGACTTTTAGACACACTTTTTGTTGGAATGAGACAATATGGAATGATATTTAGAATTATGAAGAATTCTAGCTGCTTTGCACAAGCTTATTTTGTTTTGCATTCGATAAGCCTTGACTTTCAGTTAGAGACTGAGCATTGGCCAGCTGATATAGACTTTTCTTTTCAGATAACATCTTTTTCAGATCTAACAGTTTGATGTTGAAAAGATAAAATTGGTTCTGAAAATGTTCTGTGACAATTTAATTTTTGATTTAAGTTTGTAGGCTTTTCTACTCCCACAACCAGAAGAATGTTACAGAAGTCCTTGACCAAGATCAATGTATGGCATTGGACTGTTATCAAATTGTAGGCAGTGGAAACATAGAGGAAGGCATGTTTTTCATTTCCCTTGATTGATTTTGCAAACTTTTCTTGGTTTCAGATCTATTCAAAAGTGTGTAATACTGACATAAGCATTGTGGCCAATATGGTTTAAAATGCACATTATTTCTTTGTTTAGTCAGATGTTGCACTTCAATCTATTCTGAATTTACAGTAATAACAGCTGTTGTATCAAAATTGATATGAAATAGCAACATTATCTAGTTCTATTGAATTATTGATATAATAGGGTAAAATCATAGAATAGTTTTCTTTATATTTTTTCTGTCTTGTGGACACTAAGAGGGTCTTTTAGTCAAGCTCATTGTGTCTTTGACCAGGTTTTTATATTACAGACAATTTATCATAAAAATTTTATTCATGTTTTTAGCAAGTTATTTCATGATCAAATATTTATATTGTTAAAGATTTAAAATTTCTGATATTTATTTAGTATAATGATTAATAAATTAAAAAATTTACCATATTTTCACTATTATAGTAATTCAACTTATTATAAATATATGCATTATGAAGTATTCCATAAATTTTTAAATATTTATTTGAAATTTTTAAAATGATTAATTACAAAAAAGAAGTATAAGTACAAAAATATGTTTATATTTTTGAATTGTATATATGTATATATTTTAATAAATTATAAAAATTGTTTAATATATCTTAATAAACAAATTTCAAAATAATTTATTTTATTCCAATAGTATTGCTATTGTAGAAGGTATGGTTGCTGTATCTTCAAATTCTATGTGTAGCGTCTTTGAAATCCAAACAATAAATTTGGTAGATGATCAAACAGCAATTAGTTAGAAAACATTACAGTTTATTTAAAAACACTTTTTTAATTCAGATGCATTTCGGGTTGGCTTGTATTCCCAACCCCTCTTCAGTGCTGTTAAAAATTACAAAAAACAAGGTGAGTTTCACGACATTGGTAAATAGGACGTAACAAAACCAAGGGGTGACAATAACAAACTTACATGTTATATAATGGTACAGCATAGACTTGTGTGACAATATTTTTATTACATAGTTGTATGACTATTTTCTATAATATAAAAAAAGTAAAGGGCGTGGCTGTATAACACATCATTTATATAAAAATTATAACATAGATTATTAATTTAAAAATATCTATAAACACTTACATTTTTAGTTAATATGTATTATTCCCGATAAAAAATGGAACAGAGTAAAAATTGACAACTGGTGTTATCTGGTGTTCACAGAGTAACAGTATACTGACAAGTACAGTGGTACCTCAGGTTACGAACGCCCCAGCATATGAAATTTTCAGGATACGACATGAAATTCGAACATATTTTTGCTCCATGATACGAACAAAAACTCACCATACGACGTTACATTAGTTCGCATTTTTCATTTGTTTTTCTTACTACAGTTATTTTCTTTTAATGTATTACTTGGCTTTAATTTGAGTGTGTTTTTCGCTTTGTAACGAATTATTTGGTTTTACATGTAATCGTATGGGAAAAGATGATCCACCTTACGACATTTCCATGATACGATCTCAGTTTCGGAACGGATTAATTTCGTATCCTGAGGTACCACTGTAATGTTATTTAAACAATTCCTAACATTCGTACAAGGGGGTGTGCTTTTAAACAATCTTTAACACGTGGAGGCACTCTCTATTAGTTTATACCATTGGGGGTCTATTGACATACCTTCTGAAATATTAATTAAGTTTTCTTTAGTGTGTGTGTTGATTTCTGTGTGTTCTTTAAATTTTCTTTTATATGGGTCTTTTTCTAAATGTAACACTTTTATATTGTTTTTATTAATTTGGCAATTATTGTCACTTGTGTGGTAGTACCAGGGGGAAGTGTTATGTTTTAGGCAGATGGCAGCTTCATGTTCTTTAATTCTTGTTTCTAGTAACCGGCCTGTTTCGCTGATGTAAGTTTTCGGATTTCAACAGTTGCATCCAAGTTTGTAAACAGTTCCTACAGTTTTAAGAATGTTTAGTTAGTTATGTTGTTTATTAATGTCATAATGGATACTATGAGATATTTTGTTGGTCAAAGATGGTGCCAAACTGATATTGTCTTTTTTTATGATCTTATGACAGCCTTCAAAAATGTTTTTTATATATGGGAAGGTTTTGTATTTTTTGTTTAATTTATATTTCGTATTAAATCTATTATCCCAGTATTGTTTTGCCATGTGTCTAATTTCGATTTAGGATAGTCGTTAAAAAAAATTTAGTTTCTAACTCCTTTATTTTAATTTTTTGCCATTTATTATCTGATATTCTTGTATATATGTTTTTTAACTCCGTGATATAAATATTCTTTTTTATATATTCTGGAACATATGAATAGTAGTTGATAGTTTTATTAACATGACATGGTTTTTTGTATGTTATGAAAGAAAAATTATTAAGTGTATTCGTGATTGTTATGTCAAGGTAATTTATTTTATTATTGTTTTCTTTTTCTATATTTTTAACAGCACTGAAGAGGGGTTGGGAATACAAGCCAACCCGAAATGCATCTGAATTAAAAAAGCGTTTTTAAATAAACCATAATGTTTTCTAACTAATTGCTGTTTGATCGTCTACCAAATTTATTGTTTGGATTGCAAAGACGCTACACATAGAAAGTATTGCTATTGTTGATACATCAAAAATATGAAACAAATTATTAAAGTAAAGTTTTTTAAACAATTTATTGTAGAATATCAGTTTTGATGCTGTATTCCTTAATATAAAAAAATTTTAAAATTCTTTATGTTATAATTATAATTTAGAAATTATTTTAATCTTATCTCAATAGTTTGTAGGTAATTTATTTAAGCAAAGATGTTTTTATTTGCAAGATTTAGTTTTTGTTTTTCATTAATCAAGTTTTTATTCTAAATATTTTAATATACGTTGCTGATACTGTACTTTTAAAACCATTTGTTTTTATCATTTTTGGTTTGTTTAAGAATTTAGTTCAGATATTACAATTATAATATTTTCTTTCTTTCATCATAATTTTATTATTGTTTAGGTTATATTTATATGATGGTTATGATAATAATATAGGCCAGATATTCCTTTTATAAGAGTATAATAAAAATGGATTAAATAATAATAATTAAATTTTAAAATTATAAATATGTACATTTTTAACTTCGTAAAAAACAAAAAAATAGTTTTCTAAAATTTTTCTTTATATGAAGAAAATATGATTTTTAAGTCAGTATTTAATGAATGATACCATAGTTATATTTTAATAATTGGCTATTAATTAATATTATTATTGTTTTCAGAGGTGGAATCCATACAGTGGATTTACTAGTAAGCTTCTTCCTACTGACAGACCTCACTTCAGTAGTGAAGATGGTCTTACTGAATTGCCAAAAGAAAATTTTCAGTTACCGTCACCTAGTTGGCAATGGGAAGAGGACTGGTATATTGAAGATAGTTTGGATGGACAACCACTTGGAATAGAAGTAAAAACAACTTTATATTAAAAAAATGCTTTTTATTTAAACTTTATTAAATTTTAATTAGATGATAATGATAGTGAATATTGTTAATTTATGTTAAAGAAAATTCTTTCAATTTGAAGAGTAAATCAATATAATCAGTAAATCAAGTATAAAATATATTAACATAAGAATGCAGTTAAATTAGTAAAGTAAACCAAACTAGCTGATTTTACTAGATTGTTATATACTGACAGTAGGACTATTGAATTAATTTATTAGTAGAAACAGGGAAGTTTATTAAGAGACAGCAGCTTTAATAATTGGATAGTTTTGTTAATAAATTAAAATTTTAACTAAAATTAAATTTTTTCTTTGTTTAAACTTAAGCTAAAAATTTATTAAATGTTCATATAACAATTCTAGTACAAATAATTAACTTTTGCATAATTAATTAATTTAAATATTGATACATTAAAATCTGTGTAAATTGGAATTGCATGGTATTCAATTATATTTTCCATTTTTGCAGATTTCCACCAAAGTGACTCCAACTAAATATGGAATCACTTTGTTTTTGAATGCAAGAATTAAGAACGATTCTATTGTAAAAAATTCTTGATGTCCCCAAGGATTTGTGTTAGATATTTAAATATGGGCTCATGCAACAGTGAACAAGCTAGTTTGAGTACCAAAAACTGGTGCTTGGCTTTATTGCTAGAAGTTCTAATCATATTTTAATAATTAGTTAAGGTTATAATTTATTAATTAATTATCTCTGTAATTATCAACATGCTAATCAACTAGTTTTTGAATATTTAGTATTAGTTAGATACTAACTACTTGTACAAGACAAATTGGCAACATGTGTTACTCTATTCTCATTGTTTTAACAAATTACTTGCTCTTGAAAACTCTACTCTTGGGAATGTGTTTGATTTTTGAAAGTATTTGATTCTACCCCTCATTAATTTTAACAAAGACTTTATATTCATATGTCAATTTGTCAATTAACCTTCATTTCACTAACATGTTTTGAAATTGTTCTTGGGATGGAAGCAATTTTATTTATTTGTTTAAAAATGTAATCTTAATTTTCTGCTTTATCCAGGTTAAGTTACATTCTTTGTATCCAAAAACCTCTTCTGTTTCCATATTGGATAGATTTCTGGCTTATTGTAAAATGTAACAGAAAATCACAGTTCTGAAGAATTTGTTCCATTTAGGCAGGTTTCCATTTTATTCAGGTTCCTTTTTAGACAGGCTTTATTGTGTTAGTTTATTTATATACACATCAAGTAGAAAGATCCTATGATTGGACTTCAAGATTATCTTTAACTTACATGTACAGGATGGTTATAATTAAAGTTGCCCTACTCAGACCTGTATAGAGTCTGTTCTCATTGATGTATTTTGATAAAACTTGGTATATACATTATGTTATATGGACCATGGGGAAAAGGAAAATGCAAAAAAATAATTAGTTCAAATTTCTACCACCAGGTGGACAAATGGTGCATGAAGAACAAGAAACACAAAATGGAAACACTCAAAAGGTTTATTTGTTCAATGTGCAATCCATTTGCGTCAATCACATGTTCAAAGTGCCTTACAGCATGTTCAACAGTAGCCCGATAGGTTTCTTGAGAAATTGCAGCAATATGGTATGTTATGCTAGCTTTCAATTCAGGTAGAGTTCGTATGCCTCTTCTATAGACAGGATCTTTCAGATATCCCCACAACCATAAATACAAATCTCAGTTGGTCATACAAAACATCACAAAATATACTGTGGCCAAGCCATAATCATAGACATAATTCATCACAACACTTGACATCACTTTCATTGACAAACAAAAAAAAAAAATCACAAAAAAAAAAAAAAAAAACACAAAAAAAAAAAATCACACACATCTTAGACATAACTACAAACATGCATACAAAATACCTACACTGAAAAATTAACAAATACATGGAACTTGCCTATGAAATAAGCCTCTGTAGAGAATGAATATGTTCATTCTTTCAGTAGTCCTTTCTTGCATAAATATCAATCATATCACATATACTGTACTAAAATCTGGAAAAATATTAGACTTATCTGTTACATACATAGCATTACAGAAAGCAGCCATTCTAAACACATAAACATCATATAACTGCAGTAAGGTTTTTCTGTAGCTATGCCTTGACCTTGGTATAGCATTGCACTAGCACCAGTATAAACCAAGTAGGATATGATCTGTCAACACCATAATAATTTAGTTATAATTTTGAAAGGTTTTCTTTTATTGATGATCTCATAATATCAATTGGTCATTATATTAAGATACTAGTATTTTCTTTAATATATTAATAGTGATACAATCAATTCCAGACCAATTTTTATGCAATATTATTTCATATATTTCAATTATTTATTATTATAATAAATTTGATTTGTAATTTATAAAATTTAATGATTTTATATTTTAATTTGAGTGTCCTGATTAATAGCTTTTAAAATTTTATAAATATTTGAAGATAAATCAGGTTGTAAAGATGAAATTTAGATATTTTGATTTTTTGTACCAGCTGACTAATACAGTAAAACATCTGTAACTCAAATATTTCTTTAACTCAAAGAAATTTAAGCACTGATAGGTCTCAGTGGAATAACATAGGGATTTAATGTCTTTAATTTGAATTTATTAACTCCAATTTTCTCCAACTGGAAGTTTTTTATGATCCTCGACACCAATTTGTTATTTTCAACTTCCCTGACTCAAATTTCAATCTTTATTTTATTCAAAGTGCTCTTAATTATTGAATTTTTATGAAATGTTCACACAGTTATTAGTGTCTACTCTCTAACACCCATTTTCAGACAACATTCCAATCCAAAGTGAGAGGTCCTCTTGCTTTGTACAGTATACTTGCAAAACTCTTCTATTCCATTAGTTATATTGAACATTTTGCTGAAAGGCATTACACAAACTGTTTGATAGTTTTGTTTGTTTGTTTTTAAGATTCTTTATATAATGCAAGAGAGGTAAATTGCAAATCTATTCAGAATCAGTATTTTTTTATTCTATTGTTTTCTAACTCAAATTGCCTGTAACTTGAAGTTTTTTCCTTGGATCTTCAAATTAGAGAGGTTTTACTATATCTATTTCATGCCCTGCAGAACCATATTTTCAATATACAGTTCAATGACAATACACTATAAACCAGACTTTCTTCAAAGAAAAACCCCAATATGGTTCTGTAGGACATGAAACAGATAGTCAGTCAGTACCAAGTCATTCTGTGTTCATGAGATTGAAAGATTTTTGCAGCAAAGGTGATTGATATTGATGATGATTACCTACCAAGCTAAACTGTATTGACAATTTATTCAATAATGATTATAGGTTTTTCAAAATGTCTGAATTTTACCTTTACAACCTGATATAGCTTAAAAGATATTATTGTTATTTTTAAAAAATCGTGAAATTGAATTATTCTAGTAGAATTATTATTTTACTGGAATAATTTAATTTCACATATAGAAAATACATACTTTTATTGCTTCTTATTTCATTTATAAATAACATTTAGTGAAAGTTATTTGTTTTTATTTAATTGTCAATTAAATAAAAACAATGTCACATTTCATTGTTTATCAGAATGTTTTTCAGTTTTAGGATGTAAAAATAGAATATATTATATTATATGAAATCATTTAGAATATTCAATTTATTGTGCAATTTTGAAAAAAAAATTGTAATTTATAAATAAACATTACTTTGGTAAATATAAAGTTTTAGTAAATATTAAAAATAATTTGTAGGGATGGACATATTCGGTTGATTTTCCTTTACATTATGGTCCATCAAAGAAGTGGAATTCTATGGTCAGACGAAGAAAATGGGTCCGATACCGAAAATTTATTGCAATGGACAACTGGACTTTAGTAAGATTAAAAATAAACTATTTAATATAAATTTTGCTTCTAAGAATGAAACTGTAATCTATAATAATATCAATATCACTAAAGCAATAATTACCAAAATTAAAATATAAAAAAAACTTTTACAATATTTCTTTGTCAGTAAAACTGATTAACTAACTACACTAGTAAAATTTTAACTTTTAACAATGTAAATAACTTATTTTTACTGCTATATTTGTAAGGAACCAAGTCCGAGCATTATTTTTATTTACTTTTATTTTACTTTTTATTATATTTTTGTGTGGGGCTTATGTTTTGTTAGGACGAAGGTTTCCTCACCATTCACCATTCACCTTAGAAACTTAAAAAATAGAAGAAAAACCAACTCACCAACGAGAGAAAAGCGTTGTAGAAAAAACTCGTGCACACTTGCGCTCCCGAGCAGAAAAAAGTAAGTCCGCACCGAGAAAAGGGGGGAGACCCCACCAGCACAACTTAGGAACTTGCTAAACCTTAAAGAATAAAAACATCCCGAAAATTGTCAAAAAGGATAATGTAAAAGGTTAGTGAGTATTGTCGGAAAATAGGCTGCCAGACAAACAGAAAAAAGTTTGTTAGCAAATAAGTATGTAAATGAGGGGAGTGATCGCAGTCAGAATTGTGACGTCACCTCACAGTATAAAAACCAAACGTCAAGTGAAGACGGACGAGGTGAACTCCAGATAGCAACGAGCTTGGTGAGCTTCGTAGCAGCAAACAAAAGAGAGGTGTCCGATAGGATCAAATAGTTCCAAGGCGATTTTGAAGTTATTCGATTTGTGGATCGACGAATAGAGAAAGTCTTGAGAGTTGAGGAAATAGGTTCCTAGTATATTAAGGTGACGATTAGGATCTTTAATTCATAAGAATTATTGTATATAAGTTGTCTTTGAATTTTGTCGAATTCCAAAGGGGAATAGATTTAAGTTAGAAACTAGATTGATTTGAGTTTTGTTGGGTTGATTCTTATTGATTTTCATTGAATAAATTGTTATTTGATTTTTACTAAATTTTGTAAATAGTTTATTACTAGAAATTAATTAAATATTTGATTTGTTATTGACAAACTTTGTCATTATTTAATTTTGGTGCACGCTAAAAGTCCAGGCCTGGCACACTAACGCGAATCCGTGTAAAGTACCCGTTAGGGAACGGCTATTTCTGGCACACAGTTGTGTCTATAATCGTTGGAAAAGTCGGAAAAATAATTTAGTACTTTACATATTATATACACACTTCTCACCATGTATGCATGTTGTGACATGCATGTTTGCACATCATAATAATGCACATACGGCCCTTAATTGTGTATCTGGTTTGTGGACACTGTCAAATCCAAATAATTTTAGAGCAAAGGTGAGAGTATATAGCAAAAAATCTTATATGATCTTATGCATTGTTCAATTTTTGTAAACCAGATAACATGGATCTGTAAGAGATCAAGGAAATTGTTGGGAACCATTGTACAGTACAGTTCAGACAACTGGTTTCAGTATAGGGAAGTCTGGAGCTCTGGACAACTAATTTCTAATCCTGCAGAATAGTTAGAGCCAACTTACATATATTCAGAAGTTTTTATACTCTTCTGTAGTGAATATAGTTTTAAAAAATATCTTATTATAATATCCAGTTCAAGATTTTATATAATGTATGATGGTTTTAGGATCAATTGCATTATTATTTGATTAGAACATTCAAGTTTTTAAATATTTGATGCCAATTATCAGATGATATATGATGCATACTTGAAAGATTACTTTACTAGTCAGATTCAACGTTATAAAGTGTGAATTTTGTTTGTTTCTGTTAGAAAATGTTTAAATGAACATTTATTTATTTTTAACATTATTATTTACAGAATTGAAATAAAGACTAATATACAATACATATTGATTTGCCAGAGTAATTTACATAAATACATATATTGAATAACTATAGCCATTATAGATTGTTTCCATGGAGAAAACATTCAATATTTTACCTTTCAGTAAATGGGGAATAGAAAAGTCTTTATTAAAAGTAAATTCTATAAAACAACACTGCTGTATAAACCAGCAAATTTTTAAAATGATTTGCTGAATTCTTTATAGTATTTTAGGAGTAAGGTTTAAAGTACTACTTAATATGTCCAAATAACACACTTTGATAATGAAAGAGAAACAAAATTTAAACAAACAGTATGAAATAATAATAGTCATTACTATACAGATTTATGTTAATATAGAGCAGTGCGCAAACTATTTTCATTTCTGACCCTCCCATTTTGTGTAAAATTTTGTTGCAACCTCTGGATAGACAGTATACATTTTTTTAATTGTCAATGTAGTTAAAGTGAAATTCTTTCTTGGATTTGTGCTTATGTTTCTGCCTTATTATAGATTTGAATAAAACACATAATTTTATTTACACATATGGGTATAAATATTTATTTAATGAAAAATACTTTTAAAAATCTTTCATCATAAGAATTCAATGTGAAGTATGCACTTGCAAATAGCTCATGATTGCTTCTATGTTTGGATCTGTATTGGAAATTGCAAGCCTCTGTCTGTATTAGTACTGTATGTACCAATCCACAGCTTGCGCACCACTAATATAGAGCATAACAAAAATGGACAACAATTAAAAAGGTTATACTAATTGAGTAAAAATAAAAATTGTTCTTAATATTTTAAGATCTATTAATTTATTTATTCAATCAACTACATGATATAAATTAACAAAATTAATTTAACAATATTTCTTTCAGTTTTGGACACATTAAGTTATAAGACAATTTTTACATAAATATTTAAATGTTTTTGTTCAGGTACCAAGTATTTATTCTGATCCAGTTACTGAACCTTTTCTTGATGTTGCTGTAGGAGGAAATGATATTCCTGGTGGAAATACAGCAAATTTTGCTGTATGGTCTGTTACAGTCATGGGAAGAGTAAGTTGATATATTAGTGATAAATCATTTTTGCAAGTTACTTTATCTACTTATGATAAGATTTTTATTTGTGAGGAAACTAGAAAACAATGATAAACTAATTTTATTCATTGCTATTAAAATACTATACTTTACTATTTTTTGGATAAGTACAAAAATAGTACAATGAAATATAAATCATAAAAACATATACCTAATTTAGGTTTGCCAATAAGTTAATACTGAATATTAAAAGAAGCAATATCTCACAGCAGTATAATTTGTACTCTATTCAGAAATGACTCAATAAATTTGCAACATTTTACAGAAATGTTGCCACTTATAACATTTCATATATAGACTTGAAATTTTGAATGACAAAAGAAATGGATGTTAAAGTTCTCCAGAACTTGACCTGAAGAAGAATTAAAATTAATTTAATAGAGATACTCCAACATATATATGGTATGTTATAGTTTCTAAGTAATTCAGAAACACATTATTAATTCAGTTTTATATAAATTTTTAATGAATTTCAAAATTTGAAAATATATCATTTAACAAAAAAATATGGAGTAAATTTAGTTTTTCAATCCTAAACTAAATTATGTTTATGGAAATTATGAGTACTAGTAATTAAAATGTATAATGCATTATTATTTGAATTATATAAGAATCTAATTTAAATGTTTTTATAAAAATTTATAAAAGTCATATCAATACTTTATATAAAATAATAGACATTATTATTATTTCCTCATTAGCTTGTAAAGTATTTATTAGCTTTAAATATAAAATTTTTTAAAATATTGAAAAACTTTTAGTGACAATTATTTTCAGAAATTAAAATTTTTGTTTTTGTATATTTATACATTAAGCTATCTTAAATTTATTTTAATATTCAAGAAAGTAATGGTGTTTAAATTCATATGAAAAAAATTTGGATTAATTGATTTTAAGATTGTTAAATTATCATTATACTCTTTATATGACATTAAATATATAACAAAATATATTTTTATATTAAGGCAATTGAATTAAAGTCGGAAGTTTATAGACCTAAGCAATATTATGCTAATGTCTATAAATGACTGATCATTCTCCTGCAAATATGGATTTGATATTTATGCATCAATCAATTTTTTATAACTGTCTGTCAAATATAATGGGTATTAGATTTTTGCACTGTTTATAAAGCATCAAATCACTGATGATATAAATTTTATTTTTCATTTATTAACTATTTATAAAAATAATACCCATATATTACACAGATACACCACCAAATTTTTGATAACTGATAGTCTGGGATCTTTAATCCAGATAAAATTACGAGAAGGAACTTAAAATTCTGTGGCCACTAGACTAGTTTACTAAACAGTCACCAATGGCATGCTTATTTACACTACACTTGTTGATGGTGATACCCTTACTGACACTCATCTCTCTTAGAAATCATAGTTTATTTTGCTTGAATTTAACCCTAGCTAAGAATATCAAAAATTTTGGTATCAAATGTAATTTACATTTAATATTTACTTAAGTTTCTAGAAATCAGTGATATACTTCAGACACAAGACTAAAGTGGGTTAGAAGCGTATTGATGAATTTTTATTATACATGACCAAGGCTTGTTCAGAAAAATGGTTAAAATCTGACAGTGTACTTGTACTAAGATTTTTTTAATGCTAATTAGTTGTTTTTGTTAAAATAAATGGTAAATATATTAAGTAACTTGATCAAAAAATTTCCATCAGCTGGATTTGGAATTTTTATTCTCAGTCCTGTATATATGAAAGAGATTCAATAAATAAGATTCTGTTGTTTTTTAAAAGATTTCCTTGCTGGCTTCCTTTAGTAATAGAGACCTTAATATTGTTTTGATGATTGATGTTGTGATCATGTTTCTGTAGCCCTTAATAAAGCCATTTCTTAATTCCACATTGATAAAACAAAGATAAATTGTATGTATGTTAGTTAGATGAGTAATAACACTTTCTAAATAATAGGCTCATTAGGTTGTTACTTTCGATTGGATAATAGAATGTCACACGGTCACTATGGAAAGATTTTTAAAAAATTTGTTATAGAAGTGACACAGTGAGACTATCTTTTTCTTAAAGTTTGAATTTTAAATTCAGCAAAGTATGTTTAAAATATGCCATTTGCCAAAATATTTTAAAATTCAACTTAAGGGAAATTTGCTCATTGAGCATGAACATCACATGGTTACTGACGTTACTGCAACGTAAGTATGATCACTGATCCCAAATAGATGGAACATTTATTCTATAGCTAATATTTTCGCAAAGTAAGTGTAGCCTATACTTTCCATCAGAACAAAATGAATATAACCAAAATTTCATATGAATTGGACAAAAAAATTACAGAGTTGTAAGGAATTTGCACATGCATATGCACAGACAATGTCTTTTATATTAGTAATATTACTGTCATCAAAGCAAACACTAAGCTAGATTTAAAAACACTTTTGATTGTAAGATAAACATTGAAATTTGTTCTGACCTTATTCAATAGCTGCAGATAAAAAAAAAAGAGTTTTGAATGATCATATCTAAGTAGAATAAGGAGAAACATGTTATTGTCATTAAAATACTTGGAAGAAACAGATATGAAGACATTTTAGTCACGTTCAAACAATTTTCTGCTAATTGAAGCTATGTTATATATATAACTCAAATGTTATACCAACAAATATGATGTTAAAAGATATCAAATTCACAGAATATAGTTAAGTGAAATTTCACATAACTTCCTAGAACACATTTATCTATCTTTTCCATAGATAAAAATCTGAAACCATTATTTTCTATGTGCTAAATGTAATTGTTTATAAAATATTTAACTTATAAAGATTTCAACAAAATTGAATTTTTATTTTTAGATTATGTTTAGGTGTGGAGTTACAACCGTTTGTCCTGAAGGTGCAAAATGGATTCACATTCCAACTCCTTCTGGTTGTGAAGTTAATCAAATTTCTGTCAGCCCCACAGGATTAGTGTGGGCAGTAACTTGGGATGGTAATGCATTAGTTAGAACAGGAGTCAACAGAGAAAATATAATAGGTATAAAATGTTTTGAAATTCTAATATTTTGAAAATTGCACATTCTCTATTTAATTATTCAGGCAACTCATATATCTGCATTTAAAAAAATAAAATTGATTGATTTTTATACTCTAAATGGCAAATTAGATATTTTAGTTGAATTAAAAAAAATGAAAATTATAAATGTATCCTAAATGAGCATTACAGAAATTTGATTCTAATGAATAATGAATTCCATTTTAATCCTAAATCATTAATGGATGACAGATACCGTATTTAAATATTCAAACTAACAATTGTTAGTTTAAAGTAGAATGAATATTGGTTTAGATTTCGATAAAATTTAATTTTTTTACTATTAAATTTTTTACTTTTATAACAAGTTCATTTAAAAATACTTTTATTTATCAGAGAAATTCATTACAAATTTAGAATTTATGACACATTCATATAGAGATTGCTAAATAAAAATGAAATTAGTGAATCTAGGAAATGAAATTTCATGAAAATCTAACTAGATTTTTTTTTCAATGGATAAATCATCATAATATTCATTTTAATGTAAATTATTGATTTATTGATAATATTATGTATTGGGTTGTTCGGAAAGTAATTTCGTTTTTTTTTCCGTGGGAAAAAACCCAATATTTTTATAATAAATAAATATTTTGTTGAATTATTTATTGTCATCATTTCTGGTAGTAGCACGATTTCACATTCATAAAAGTTTTGATCATTGCTTACAAAAAACTGATTCAAGTGATTTTTGACATTGTCATTTCAAGTAAATGTCTTACAGTTAAAAAAAATTTGTATAGACCGGAACAAGTAATAATCTGAGTGTGCTC